CGTTTCACTGGGCACCCCTTCTGAAATCGTTTGTTACATCAAAACGAAGTTCTGTGCCAAATTTGGTGCTTTAGTCACCTCGGTCACGATTTAAGCATTAAGCTACTGGACTATATAGCCAAGCAGAAGGAAACAAACTTGCGAAAGAAAAAGATAAGCTAAGATTTACAGTTCATAAGTTGGATGATGAACGTCTTGGCATTACATTAGATCTTGTTTATTGCAATGGATAGTCACTTTGCTAGTTGAAAGAAATAAATGAAAACAAATTTAGAATATTTGTGAGATGTCTTAATATTAAGAGAATGAAATACTAAACAATAAAATCGAGCATGTACAGTGATATTCTATTCGACATGGCAGACATAGATTACCTGGTTAAGAGACGTATTTATCTGCGAAATATTTTCTTAAATTCGACCAACATACTTGTTAAGAAAACCAGCAATTATTATTAACATTATTCATGATAGATTTTGTGCAAAATGTTTTCAAAATTTAGTGTAAACCTACCATAGTAAATTACAAACGAGAACTTCCACTTGATAAAGTTGTACTTTTGACAACGCCTGCCTGGTTCCCAGGCTTTTTCTACCGTGGCGAAGCTTCTCCAATATGGCGGCCAATTTCTGTTTCCTCGTTTTGCCTACCATTGTCGCATTTACGGCTTGCATTCTCAACTCTCGCAACTTTTTGTTACAACCCAGCATGTTGTTGTGCATGTCTTCTTCAAAATGAACTTGCTGAGCCCTGTTAAGAAAATTTAAATAATTCGATATTGTTGAAAGCTTTATTTCTTTTCATCAGCAGCTCGATTTGAGGAATGAAAGATTTGAAACTAAGTTTGACGTGTTCAGTGATCCACACTAAAGTTGGAAGCGACGCATCAAAACGCAATTAAAGTCGAAAAACGTGCGATATTTTGCCATTTGAACATCTCAGGACGATATCCTAAAATATGTCTTCGCGCATTTCTAAAATTATTTAGTTTTGCATAATAAATATGGTGTAAAATCATTACTCGGTGAACATTCATCGAACCTTCGCAATCTCGGTTATTTGTTTCGAAATCTGCACCATTGACGCCATTATGATTTTATTTATTATTATCCACTTTGTTTTCGCTTTCCAAACTCTATTCTGCGCATTTTTAAAACTTTTTTTGTTAAACTTACCAGAGTCTAAGACCGCAATCGCTTTTTCGATCGCATGGCGATCCTTCTCCTTCTTCCCGAGCCTACGCAAGTGGTCCCGATCTACTATTCCTGTAAAACAAAACAAACAGCTATTTCTCTGCCATACTAAAATTAAGCAACTTCCAATTTTTTTAAGACATTCAAAAATTCTAGCAAACGAAAAAGTAAAAAAATGTTTATAACTCCAGTTTTCGACATCATGGCTTTAGCCGAATACCTGTTTGTGAGCCTTCTACCCACACTCCAAAGTTAGAACAATTTCTTGGGTTCATCCTTGATCGACTTTGTAAATGTCGCTTTCATCTTGCTATGCTATTCCAATAATTCAAAACAAGAAATAACAACTATACAGTACCAACGACAAAGATCCAAGCAATTCAGATTTGGCGACTAAAATATATAAATAAAATGTTATTAATGGACGAAAAAGTTTTCAAATCATTGTAGCTTGCTTTGATATGATGATATGACATTGCAGAACTTTTTTAGGAAGGCAATCAATTTTCTCTTACCAGATACACAGCTATTTCTTTTCACCTACAGGTTTTGGTTTTTATCCCACTGTTTGTGGCGACACTTCTTGGAAACCTAGTTGTTCATTGGAGCACAAATCGACAAATTGAAATTAAAAATAATGAGAAACCTTTCAAATATTAAACTTTACAAATAATTTGTGTTTACAATACGAAATTTCAGATATCAAATATTCCATAGTTACTTTTACCGTAATTACAGTGAATCAATATATTTCTTGGGCCATCCGGTCCTGATCCACAAATTACCGACGTAAAGTTTACTTGATAACAAAGTTAACATAAGACATTCGGTTATTTGGGATGAAATGACTGGTCGATCTGCAATCTTAAATTGGCCGGAATTTTTTGACAGTCAAAGTAACGTTCCCTTATTTCACTCAACCACATTTATATAAAAAGCAAAAAGAAAAAACCATAAAAACCATAATTATACGATTCAGAGGCCAGATGCAAATATTTGACTACTCCGTACTGAATTTTTGTTTAGTTTTCGATAGCTTCTCTCAGCACGGTATTAATCATCTGAAGTCTTGAAGATTTTCAATGGTCAGTTTCAATGCAAGCTATGGGGCTGTTGAATTGACAGAAGGTTTATTTTAGTAACTTTTTGGGGAATGCTGTTTTCATTAGAATATTTCATTGGAGTCTCCAAACCGAATTGTTCACAATTAACAATATATTTTAATAATTTATATTACGCAAAACTAATAAAAGAGTAATGCGAACAGTGACGTAACCACAGGTAGCCCAAGCCTGGTTTCTTTGGTGTCAGTGTTATAAGGAAATGTATGGGGATTCTTCAAAAATTTCAATAAAATCATTGAAACGTGAAATAAAGCCTCGAAATTTCACCCGATCATTGAGAAATAGCACTTCTTTCGCTCTGTGTGGTTATTTTTTTGAATTTAGCCCGTTTTAAGGATTTTGTCCCCCACCAGTAAGAAATAAGAGAAGTTTGGAGACTCGGGATCCCAACAGCGAACCATCACGAGTCTTTGAAACCCGTACGTCTTCGGATTTTTTTTCCAGCGCCAAAGTTTTGTCATAATCCCTCTCTCACATCCCTATAGAACCGAGAAAGTCACATTAGTCTTCATGTCTTTAAGCCATGAAATTTGCATCTTCGCGAGTCATCAAGGGGGACGGGTCAGATTTTATTCAACTCTGGCTTTTGATTTAGGCCCCGTCCACACGTATCCGGAAATTTTTGTATCCGCAAATTATTTTTTTGCGGATAAGAAAATGTTTGCGTCCACACGCATCGTAATCGAATCGTTTTCAACGTCCACACGTATCTGTTTTCGTAAAATTTGAGGATACGGACACAAAAATTTGGGGGGGCCTTATACTGGTTCTATAACTTTAAAATGTCAACTGACTTCCTTACTAAAGAGAATTTTATGAAGCTTTGGGAAAGCGAACCGCTTCCTAAGGTCAAAGCAGTTATACGAAATGAAGTGTTGGTTGTTAACAGCAAAATTACGAAACTCACGAACACTCTCACTGAAGTTGAAAAGTCGCAATCTTTCTTATCAGCTAAACATGACAGCGTGTTAACAGCTTTCCAAAACGCAAGAAAAGACGTCAGTAAAATGAGTACTGATCTAAATGAAATAGATAAAGATATCGACACAATCAAGCAAGAAATCTATAATCTCAACGTTGACATCGACGATGCACAACAGTACCTTCGCAGGGATTGCCTAGAGATAACAGGCATTCCGTTTAAGTCGGATGAAAACACTAACAAAATTGTGGAAGAAGTTGCCAAAGTAATAGGAGTAAATATGAATCAAAATGACATATCTACTTCTCATAGATTGCCTGATACGAAAAAAAACAAAACACCGAATCATTGTTAAATTTGCATCAAGAGACAAGAGGGAAGAATTCTATAAGAAAAAAAGTAATTTGTATAACAAAACCACAAGCTCAATTACTGGAATGCAAGGTCGCAATCGGATTCACATCAATGAATCCCTCATGGCATATAGGAAACGCCTATTTGCTAGGATAAATGATTTCAAGTTTATCTGGACTAATGGGGGTAAACTCTACTTGAGAGAGAACGAACAAGCAAGAAGTTATRTATTCCTTACTCATGAGAAGTTTGATGAGTTTAAGGACACATACATTTCAGATAAGTAGTTTAAATAATTTATTATAAATATTTCTAATCAATTGTTCATTATAATGTTATAAGTTTTCAAAATGGATCCTACAAATGATACTGATAACTCATTATTATCTAACTTAAAATATCTGTGTGATGTCTTACCTAATCCAGACCGGTTTGATGATATGGATTCGGATCATATGCTCATTAGTCCTAGTTCTAATTATTGTTCAATAGATGATATAAATGAAATACTTGATTAACAATCTAGGCTGGAACATCTTTCACTTATTCATATGAATGTCAAAAGTTTGCCTAAAATCTTTTCTCGGCTAAGTGATATATTTAGTTCAATTTCTAAGCAAATTGATATCGTTGCCATTACTGAAACAAGACTTAACTCGAATTCAGTTGACAACGTAAATCTTGATAATTATAATTTCTTCCATCACGATTCTATGACAAATGCGGGTGGGGCTGCACTATATATCAATTCTAAATTTAGAACTATCTCAAGACCAGATATAAGTTTTAATTTTGATCTAATTGAATCATGCTGGGTAGAAATCGAAACTATAAAAAACAAACCCAACGTAATAATCGGTTGCATCTATAAACACCCGAGGGCTAACATCAGCGAATTCTCAAAAGAATTTGAAAATATTATAGAGAAAAACAAAAGTCTTCACATATATGTTTTGGGTGATATGAATATAAATCTTTTAAACTTTAACGATGATTCTGCTACTGAGGAATATCTTAACATGTTGTATAGTAACAGCATCTTGCCACTTATAACAAAACCRACTAGAATAACGTATCACACAGCAACTCTGATTTATCATATATGCACTCCCATTAATCTTATTACTAAAATAATCACCACTGATATATCAGACCACTTACCGATCTTCTGTGTGGCACAAGCACAAGTAAATAGAAATAAAAATAAGATTTATTACCGAGATTATAAAAACTTTAAYGAAGAMTCTTATCTCAACGATAWTAGTAAAACAGACTGGGACCAAATTATTACATCTGAACTAACATTAGATGAGCAGGCAGCTAATACAGTTCATTGCCTTCAATCTATTATAAATAAGCATGCTCCTCTTAAAACTGCTTCTAGATCTAAAGCCAGACAGTTAGATATCTAAATATCTACTTAAGTCTTCCGACCTACTGGTGCCGCCCAGACTCTGACCAAAGGCCAAGGTCCGACCGGTAGGTCCGATCAGTTATTATGGCATCTCCTTGGCTATTTTTGCTAGTTCTCTGCCATATAATTTAACACAGGGATCCCAAAAGAGAATATATGTCCTTCGCAGACATTCTTATTCTCGTCACGTCGTCACGTAACGTTTTTCTCCTCA